CTCTTCGCCATAAACTTTACGAGGGAAACAAGCCCACCAGGACCCTCGGCCGGAGCTGTCAATTAGCATCAGCTGTGGGGGGAGCGGGGGAGGGCGGGTCAGCTTTTGGGCAAGGCCCCCAGCACAGCCCTTCCCCTCTGCCCCGGCCTGCCAAGTGCAGCGCCCGCCCCGTCTCCCCGCCTGGCTCGGGGCTCCCCGCTGCCAAGCACGACCCGGGCGGCGGGTGTGGACCCCGCTGGGGAAACACAGGTGATCGGGACCTGCCCCCTCCCCTCCCCTAGCCCGGCCCGGCACCTTGTCGTTCTGGTAGGCGGTGACCGCGATGAAGTCGGTCTCGGGGAACACGTAGGTCCGGAAGGTGCTGTAGGGCAGCTTGAGGATGTCGTTGGCCCGCACGATGTGGAACCGGGGCTGGTACTTGTGCATGGAGTTCAGGATGGTCTGCGAGGGGAGATAACAGCAACAACACTACTACTACTAATAGCAATAGCAGTAATGGCACCGATAAGAATCATAGTCACAATCACAGCAGCAATAATAATGATAATCATAATCATAATAATGGTGACAACGATTCTTGTCCCGGGCTCCGAGCTCGGGCCCAGGCGAAGCAGCAGCCCCCCGAGCAGCCCCCCGAGCCGCGATTCGTTGGGATTTGCCCGGGCCCCGGGGCAGGAAGGTAAGGGGGTCGTTGCCATTGCTGCCTTGGCAAATGCGGGCTGCGGAGAGCAAGGGGGAAGGAGCAGGGGGAGGGGAGGGCAGGGCTGGAAGGGGCGATCTCTGCCCCTCGCAGGCTGCCAGCCCCGGATCGGGGCCGTGCAGAGGCCGGGCCGGGCGCCCTTGGCCTGGGGTCGTTTCACCCGTAGGAAACGCGGGTCTGCGCTTCCTGCCGCGGCTGCACGGCAGGTGTCTGCGTTGCCCCCTCCCAGATAAACCCCGTCTGTGCCTCACTACCGTGCCGTGCCCACGACGGCTCCCCCCCCCCCCCCCCGCGCTCCCTCAAACCC